TTTTTTTTTTTTTTGAGGCCACAATATTCGAGTCTCGAGTAACTTGAAATAACCCATGACGGCCAACCTTTTATTTATATTATTATTAATGTTATTCGAATATTAAGTAAGTACGAAAAAGTTTTCTTGATGTAATATTACTATATTATACTTTGGAGTCRCGAMTCGAACAAACACTTCGGAACGCCGCCGCGGAAACGAAAACTGTTCAGATAATATAATATGTAAGTATACCTACAGCATAGGTAGGTATTCCTATAAATAGCTAAAAAATGTTCGGGTAAATTAGTGTTGCCGCCGTATTTAGGTTAAATGTAATTCGCACTGCAGTACATTGATTATATTCTAATGCAGTGATTCCCTGCAACGTGCGCGCTACCGCCAACTAGTGAGCATTTTTTATTTTGAAGGAGCGTTTTTCTGAGAGGGGCGCTCATCTATCATTTATATTTTTATTGTTTATAACTGATTATAAATAAAACTAATATTAAATACCAAACGTAATATACAGAATTATGTAGGTATAATATTTATAGATATACTAAGTAACTTCTAAATAATTATCTTATCGGACTATAGATTTTAGGTACTAGGTGGATGAAAAAATTGATTTCGAGGGGGGGGGGAGACGGTGGTATGAGATTTTTAAAATCCAAAAGGGGCGTTGAATGAAAAAAGGTTGGGAATTAGATAATGAATTCTATACAAACATACCGGTGTGGGTGCGCATGTGTCTCTTGAGCAACGACGGCCGGTCGAAAGCTTTGCGGCACACCTCGCACGGAAGCAGGGTGCGCTCGCCGCGGAACGGCCTCGGTTTCACCGGAGTCACGATCATGTTCACGTTGTGGTCCAGCGATGCTGTGTCCCCGGACAATGAGTTGGCCGAAGACGATTCACCGGACAACGACTTGCGTTCGTCCGTGTCCAGTCCGCTGGGCGGGGAGGACGCCGATGACGCGGAAGACGTACCGAACGCCCGGGACAGTAACGACATGGATAGGTCCAACGGTGAATCTGGAACAAACGAATAATATAATAAGAATCAAACCACATAATATWATATTATTTACATTAATCATCTATAAAAACATCGGTTGATGACACAATATTATAATATAATACCTATTCAATAATAATAGGTAAACTGAATTGTATTGTAGTTCGCGATGACGCGCACCAATAAGTGATAATTATTGTATAATTGTTGGGTTTTACAAAATGCAGTATTCAGTAGTTTAAACGAGTTACCTACATAKATTATAGTCTTCGCATTATTGTACAACGTATCACATAATGGGTCAACTTAATTCTAAGACCGATTAATATACTTTAATACACATATAATAATATAATATACAAGAAAACACGTACATTTAATTGTGGTTTTTGCTCTCTCCTGTTTTAAGATTGCWTAAAAAGGTACTTTGTGCTTGAACGTATATCATTGAAATTAAATTCGACACGYGTTATTATTAAAACATACACTATTATTATATAGAAGTAGAGTTACCTACTATCATAGATATAGCTAGTACTATAGTTATACCTACATTGTCTGTGATTACGGTGAAGTGAATATTATTATAACGCGRTCGATTATACRAGTATTATTATTATTATTAAACCGCGCGGACTCGAGCAAAAGCCACTGTGGTCTCGTCCACCGTTATAGTTCCAATTAAAACGATAATCTCGCCAAGTCGATCGTCGATCGTCGATGCTATTGCTTATTATTATTACTCTACTACAGACTATATATACACATATTATATGGGTATGAATAGTATGAGAGTCAATTTATATTCGTATTTGGCGGAAACGGTTCGTGTCGCGTCCAGACGGTCCAGTGCTCATAGATACACGATTCGATATACGCGATCTCACGTCGTCAACTGTAGAGGAATATTTTTTCCGATTAATAGGCGGATGAGTTTAGAAGAGTAACTTAAGTTCTCTTTGACAAAAGCAGGCCAAYGATTCGGAAGACAATTTGTCCGATTATCTCCGTTTTGAATGGGTGCGTACTTTATTCCGTCCGACTATACAGCTAGTCATATAATATAGAACAATGCAAGTCAACCGTTTCGTCGACGATCGTTGTGCAAATAGCCAATAGGTACATAATATATTGTTATAAAAACGATGAGGTATCCGTGGTCTACATCAAATCGTCTGTCGCTTCCTAAAACTGTATTTATATTGGTGCGATAACGGAACTGTCCATCAAGAGTTGCGATACGTGTTCGTCGAGTTAATGATATTTCCAGTCCACTTCCCGCATATTATATATGAACCTTCCATCCAACGGGGCCAACAGTCACCAGATCTACGAAAGAGTGGTCCGAGAGACGGCCTCACCATCGTCGTCGAACAATGCGTTTACAGTGGYGACAGACACGTCAACTAATTTCGGTTCGACATATAGGTATTATTATATTATAAAGCGCAGGCGGCCGATTATTATAGTAGCCTATCAATATTCAATAGTATATAACTATACCTATTTGACGTCGTGACGATAAAACGTATATTATTATTATAACGACGCGTCATAATCGTCGTACCTACTCGTATACAACCCTGCCTCAAAAATTTATATGCGCGTTGTACGTGCCGCGAGTAAATTTTGTGTGCGACTATGTTATATTATTAGCATTGTATAATAATTCATTTTTCGCATTATTATTACATCGTTTTCTGAATCACGTGAAAAACGCACGTAATATATAGCAGCAGAGCACCCGTAAAAAACTAAACAAAAAAAATCCCCCATTCACGCTCCTAAATAATATCTGTACGCACTACACGGGCACAMATATTGTTATTATGTATCTACATCTACATGATGGTACATACCTATTATAATATTAATATTATCATCCTATCATAGGCGTTCGTGTATAATACATGTATAATATGGTTCGTTGGTGATGGTGGTCGTGGCGCATTCCTTCCACGTGCGATCTCTTACCAAAATCAGACAATTTTATATTTTCAACCCCTCCCCTAGAGACCACCGAAAAACAAAATACAAATATTTTATTCTTTCAAAACATGATTAAAAAAAAGCGATTTTCGTAAATCTTCAATTTATTTTTTGCGTTTTATTTTTTTGAACAGTAGGTATGCAATTATAATATATGCGCGATTCGTCGATTTTCCGAGATAGAATGTTGCACGCTTATGCATCCCGTATAATATATTATATGTATATTACGTATATAGATGCACKCGGTTTTCCTCCGTCTCGGTCTCGCGTGACGACCATCGCTCTTATGCTGTTATACCTATATTATGTGTCCATATACCTGCACACACATACACACGAATAAATATATATATGTATATATATATATGTGTGTGTGTGTGTGTGTGTGTGCATGCACAAGTACATCGAAGCGACGGACGCAAATCAAGTCCGTGTCACCGTCTCGGAGAAAACGCGCGGGCCGGGGGATGAGAAGAACCGAGGACAATACCCGCGCCCGAAGTCGATCGGGCGGCGGCGGCCAAACAATAGAAGGACGTGCCGCTACCGTTTGGAAGTGAGTACCGCCTCGGCCACGGGGTATAGGTACGTATAGGTACGCAAGTACGCGTATATTATAGGTATGATGTGTGTGTGTGTATATATATATATATATATAATAGTGCCTACTGCACGTATATACAATAATAATAATAATAATAATATAATACTCGCGTATATATTGTCGCCGCCGCACAATCACCAATAGCCACCAGAACAATGGACAAACCGTACGCATTATTATACAACGATATTGGTCTTTGGACGTGTATATGCGTACCTATGCGTTCGAGTATGATCGTATATGCAGCGTGCTCGTATCGAACGTATTCCGTCTCCGTTTTTTCCCTACTACACCTATATTATATTATTATTATTATTATATTATATATTATGCTCTCACGACGCACATCATGTAGGATTCCATGTCATTTCAATTTCGATTTTTCGTTTTAATTTTTCATTCCGTCCCGTAGCCGTCCTCCTATTATACGCACGTTGGAGTGATCATCGATACTAATTAAATACTGGTRGTCAAGAGTAGCGGTTCCCAAACTGTACATCGCGGACACTTTCTAAGGTCACCGCGGTCTACGGTTCATAATTATAAATAATTTAAATTATAATTAAAATAATAGTTGTTTTTTTTCTCGAAAATTCGTGATTGATGAGTAATTTTTTGTCCTGTCTTTCATGGTTATATTTGATCCAAAAAATTGTACTGTAGAAAAAAAAAGTTAGTGAACCACCGCTGRTCTATAGTGTAGACTGCACAATCCACAGCGGAGTTTGTGACTGCAAGGTGGAGGGTAGTTGGAAATTCGACGCARCGGCATGCGTTGTATACGCGGATACCTTTATTATACTACGTATGTGGTTCTATGTATCTATCGGTTTTAATTTACCTAGAATGTATACATTGTACCTACACGTTGTAAAAATACGAAATCATATGATTACGAAAACCCAACGCATTTGGTATATTATGCGTATACATATATCTACCTATACCCTTGGCACCATCCGGCGTAGTGTATATTTTACCTATATACTATAAATTAATAAAATAAATATTATAATTGTATAATAATATATATTATTATGGGTTTATAATGTTAATATAATATATAATATAATATTGTATCGAKCCCGGTAAACGCATTATTATAATATTCTGCAGCAATAACTTTGCAGTGTCGCGTTTTTTTTTTTATTCACACGCCGCTCGAGGCCGTTTTACGCGGTATATTAATTCAAGTAGCCGTAAACGTACATATCGTTGTAATATTATAATATAATATATAACATATTGTATAGTACCGGCGTATAAGGCTAGGGACAAGGTCACTTCGCGTCAATCTACTCTGGGCCCACGCCGCGCCGCCTCGAAGACGTCCCCGAGCGACCTCGCTCGTTCGAAACAATAGTCATATATAGCTATATATATATATATGATGGTACGAATGTCTCATCTCATTACGCGGAATCACCGGGATTATTCGATGCTATATACTATCAATTATCATGCGATCAGCCAAAATTGAATATTGTGGAAAATTGAGGGTGAAATACTTTCGGGGTGGGAGATTTAAATTTTAGTAGGTACCTATTATGCAGAGCTCACGTATATTTGCAGCGATAGAACGATGATCCCTCCAAAGTATTAAAGCAAACAAATATGTAAATTAATTTAAAAAATATATATATATAATATATATATTGTATTGTACGTTATTACAATGGATATAATACCTAACTACCACAAAAACGAGTATGTGGATCGTCGACCGCATTAAAATATTCTATACAAAATTAAACGGTGTAACAAAACTTTTTCGAACGGGGATAACAATCATAATGATATATAATATATATCATGTTAATGTCGTTGAGATGTTGACGATATAAATAGGAAAAAAGAAAGCGGAGGAAGTATTTAGATAATAGCATAATACACATAGGTAAGCATCAAATGAATAAAAAGATTAAAATAGGGCTTATATATAGGTAAGTAACCGGAGTAAGAAAAACCATTAAAAAAACAATAACRAGAATAATCAATTACAGATAACATATGTATATTATTAAAGTGGACAGAACCATATAATAATTAGGTAGTATATAGACATGATTCGATTTCCAGAAATGTCTGCTATGGACAGACGTGTGTGTAAGTAAAGAAATCAAGTAGTAACAGAGGAATATGTTGTTATATATTATTATGATTTATTTTGATGACCTAATCGGTAATTATTATTGAGGCTTTTTTTTTAAATTTTAAATCATATACGTTCGATAGGGAAAAAATCGCTTAAAATACTGCGGTTAATGGATATAATGAAACGAGTAAAATAAATGTTGCACGTTTGTTAATTATTATTATCATCAGCTGCAGTATATATTATGGGTATTATACGTAATTAACGAAATCGTTTAGTAACGTCGTGAGTGCATATCATCGATGTTCTACAAAGGTAAGATATGGAGGCGTATATGCATACTTTTATTATAACGCGTATCTATTATATTATCATATATATATATATATATAGTAATATAGTATACATCGAATCGAATAATGTGATGTACATAACATATTATTATAATATATTATATTATAGGTAGTCTATCTAAAAACGGTGAATAATAATATAATATCGACGATCGCCAAACGCGATTCGCTACGGCCTTAATATATATATAACCATTATTTCGTATGTTTGTCGATGTACCTATACATATATATATAGTATTTCACAACATCTCGCATCTCGAGCACGCTAGCTATTATTATAATATTATAATATAATATATAGTCTGTCGGCCGTTTTTCCGCCAGTCTCGCGGACACGAGCGTGAACCCCGCGCCCACCCCGCTCATCGTCGATCACCAAACGTAATTAGCCGGTCGAACCGTTTGGGAGCCAACGTCGACGTGGTGCGTGAATGTGGTGAACTAGTGAGCGGCGGACGGTTGGGTGGGTGCTGGTAGGAAATCGTAATTCATTGTTGATGCGGATGACGCGGCTCGTGCGTACCTAATGTACATATAAAATAGTATACGCGCTTGTTAGATTCGGCCCCGCGAGTGGAGAGATAAATGGGTGATGGAAAAAATAGGTGATGCATGCACACGTGTACAGCCCGCGCTCACCCACACACACACACACACACACACACACACACCACTCTTGTTTACAATAGTCCATATACACTACGGTCGCACTGTACCTATATGTGTGTGCGTGTGTAATATTATTGCGTTATGTTATACGGAGTGAACGTGTAGTGTTGCCCGCTTCTTTCCGGCGGCGGACACGGCGACCGCGAGCTGGCGACGGCGGCGGCGATGGTGGCCGAAGAATACGCGAGGAGAATGAATGAGCTGGAGATTAACCCGCGCGAGTGGTCSCACGCGAGTGGCCCCACGACATCGTGGTGGCCAACGATCGCGGGCGCGCGGATCAAGCGGCGGCGCGGGCTGCACGAGGAACGCGGTGCCACCGATTTCGTGTCGAGATTCAGAGATTGACGAAACGAGGTGTTATCCCGAGACAATGGCCCGGCCGACGAAGTGTGCCCCGCGCGTTTGTGGGTCATTATTGCAGACGTCACGTTTTGAAATTGAAAGGAGACCTCGGCTCATGATGCTTATTGCAGCAGTGACTTTTCGGACGGGACCGTTCTTCTTTTGTGCGGCGGCCAACCCGATTCCTTTCGGCGGGGTTGAGGGGGGGGGAACACTCTGTCCGACCGACACGTCGCGGACGTCCGCGCATATAGATCTCTGCAGGAACGCGCGTGCGTTTCTATGTTTTTTTTTTCACTCCACCTYGCGCTTATATTATTATATTATTATGTTGAGCGTAATAATAATAATAATAATAATATTATTATTGTTGTTGCGTACAGTATTCACGTGTATACTCGATTCACGACGACCGTCACAATAGCTGCAGCAGTCCGCCATGTCGGCCGGTCTCTATCGGGGAAGCTGCAGTGGAATGTATGATATTCATAATTTTTTCCATTTCAATAGTCGAAATCATATCACTAAATTTTCACATTCGAATAACATGTAATAGCGAAGTACTATTATACCTATATAATATTGTYGGAACGATTCAAGTCACGACTTCCGACTGCAACGGAAATCATGATCGATATGGCTCGTCCAGTAATATTGAGTAATATTATAGTATATTATTAATAATTATTATTATTATTACCTATGTATATATCATAGACGAACGCGGTCGTTTTTGATTTTATTTGTTTCTCAAAGATTTTGTTTGATTAAGATTTACATTAATATTTGCATTATTTTTGGCAAGATATACAGTGTACTCTATACAGTGGTGACGATAAAATATATCCGCAAAACGCGACTGCAGTGAGATCCGGATGTAGTATTCTACAGCAACTGGTCTACGAGGTGAAACGCTTCTATAAAGTAATTACTATGTTGGAAATGGGTGAAAAAAAATTATATATGTAATAATAATTATTTGAAGAACTGTCATTTCTTAAGAGCTCTGACGCTCTGAGATCGTAACTGGACCGACACGTTAAACGCGTGCAACCGAGTACACATTTATGTAAAAATACTTGACTATTTATATAGTAATATATAGGTGTAAATATATATTACATATATCCTTGAGACTTGAGTCATATTAGACTGCGTGCGTTGCATATATACATATATACGATAAATAATATAATATATGTATGTATCGCTATTTACGTGACTCTCTACCGCGGACGGACAATCGCGCAGCAGGTGGTGTTGTGTATTATCGACAGTTCAAAATATCGGAATCGTATAAATTGCACCGCCGACGATTTGTATGTCATTACTATTATTATAATAATACCATACGAATATTATGAGGAAGCGTGCCTCGATCTACATACAACGACTATAATAGGACGTGTGGCGAGGAGAAGTAGGGAACACACTGTCACGACGAGCGCTGTTTTCGATCGAAAAATTAAATCGTAACCCGGTCGRGCGTAACACGGTAAGCGCAAAGCCCCCGACCGGCTATTATAATAATAATATATATGTGTATACGTACATCGGTTCAGGTATCGATAAATCACGCTGTAGATCGACGATCGTCCCGCTGGCTGGTGCATATATAGGTAGGACGACGTCCGGTCTCGGCATGCGGGTGGTGGTGGGTATACGACGGTGCGGCTGAGGAGGTTGTCGTGGGGTGTAACGGCGCGGACGACGACCATTGTGGCAGACGACTGCGACGAGCAACGAGACAATTGCATTTAATGTACGAATAAAATGCAAAAATGCATCGCGTGCATCAATCGGACCGCTCCGCTGGGGCTGCTGCCGGCCGGTTATAATGGCGGAGTCGTGTCACCGGACGGAATGCACCGAATTGTCGGCCCCGTCGCCGCCGYGTCACCTTGGCGATATTATATATCGTGGCGGCCGCCAGAGATAAATATGGCATTCCGGAGGGGGTCCCCTCGGGTCTCAAAGGCGCCGACGATCCCATTGTTTTCCGCCGCCGCCGCCGCCGCCGCCACCGCCGCCGGTGTTCGTTTATTCGTCTATATGCGCGCGCGTACACACGATATATATTATAAAACTATGCGTAACTCTGTTATATAAGTAGGTATAGATAGGTACCTAACTATACGCATATATATATATATGTGTATAGATAGGTACCTAACTATACGCATATATATATATATGTGTGTGTATCGCGATTCCGATGTAATTATTGTCGTCGTAGTCGTCGTCGTCGCCGCCGTCTTTCACATATATATACATAATACACAATATATTATCATAATAATACTTCCGACCGGCTTCTGTTTGTGCGCTCGCGCGCGCGATCGCGCTCCCGCGTAAAACCACAGACGGGCGCGATCGCCGGCCAAAGGACCGCCGCGGTTCAATTAGTCGGCCATTTGCATATATATTACATTACTATTATTAAATCGTAGGTAGCTGCGCATAAACCGACTTCAATTACTGACAATGCAGGTCGCCTGCAGTTCCCGCCGCCGCCATAAGAGCACTATAGCTCGCACTCGGAAGCGACGTAATTTGTTTTTTATCTATCTGTAGATCGCGATCTGACGCCGGGCCGCAATCGTTTAGAGTGCGCGTGCGTGCAGTGTACCCGGACCGGCCGGACCACGTCAAATTCAAAAATCGATATTTCCCGCTTTATATACGCGATGTCATAACGATGACGCAATCGGATCGCCTGCCGACGGTGCAGCAGGATCGATGGCTTTATGTACACCGATCGATCTGCACGCGTTAATATTTTTTACAGACAGGCTCGCATAATAAAATAATATTATTAATAGCGTTTTATATTATCATCGAACAGCGCACTCGATCGCGTGATGACGTCCCCACACGGCAGCTGCTCGTGAAAATTCTAGAGATTATGCGTGATAACATCTCCGTACCTGCGTCGTATATTACTGCGCGTAATCGATGTCATTGAAATATCGATAATTTCGAATAATATATTCCTTATAGCATATAACGATTTAGAKTAAGTTTATAATATGTTCAATAATAATATATTACAATATAATATGAGATTGAACCTCCTGCGTAAAAACGATAGATACGAAGACAGCAAGCCGCGAACACTCGTCACTCGTCGATTCGCGCGGACGACAGCCGCTGTTTAGCCGAATAACGACGATGAACGGGAATCTTGAATTTTGTCGCGATAATATAATTTACACGTTGATGATAATGTTTTCTTGACTCACCGATCGATGCTGTGGCGTATTTACTTACGAATCCTTTTTTTTTTTTTACGGGGTTTTAAGATGTAATGATTATAACTGCAGTAATCTTACTGAGACAACTCTGTGTTGGGTAAATGTGGTGTACCTCTCACACCTCACTAAAAATTCCTAAATGCRTTTTGCTGGAAAGTTAACATTGTATACGTTCTATCGAAAAATGTACGAGAAAAACTCCCGGGAAAAGCACGATCGATTAAACATCTCAAATACCATCGCGTCGGCCTTATCGGAAGTGTAGGAATTTTGTGTCGMAGCGGTTTTCATCGCGTTCGGAACATCTTTCTCATATCGGTATCGACTTGTAGTCGGCGATCGTGGTGTTGAACTAACAATTATACCTATTATGTACAAGGGCGTTATCGAYAGTCATCGGCATGCACTTGACCCAGGAGACACGCGCGACGACGTACCGTGGGTATATCTACATATAATTTTATATAGGTACCCGCCGAGAATTCAATCTTCGACTGGGACGCATATTGTATGCGACGAAGACGGTATAWAATGATAGCATATTACTTTAATAATTATTATAATCTATAAAGACTTACCTTCCAGAATTGTGTCCATCGTACGTCTGTACAGCGTGTTTCTCAAGTATTGGACGGCGGGCATGAAGAATATCTCTTCCGGCCGCTCGGGCAGGTAGTGCACGATCAACTCCGTGTTGGCAGGTATGTTTTTGATCACTTCGTACATGGGTTCGCCTGTTCAGTAAAAACAAAATAGTAATAATCATAACATTTTTTTTTTTTTAAACATCTGCAATGAAACGCGCACGACGGTTCTCGGTCTCGGTTTACACACGCGCGCGCTCGCTCGCGATCCGACCATAAATCCACACACGGTGTTAAATCCCGAACAGGTTCGGCAAGATACCCGAATATAATCGCGTAATCGTCGTGAATAAAAATAAATAATAATAAAAACGAATTTCGGTGAAATAAAAACATAAATATCGAACCGGTTGTTGATGTGTGTACCTTTTATTTTGGTTCCCAATACGTTGACATGTTGTTCGGAATGGTGCTGCGTGATTTTCAAAAACCGGACCCAATTACAATAACGCACTCGGAGTCTGTTCACCTCGGTCACCTGGTCGTAGCAACCGAATCTGTGCCTTATCTGAAACAATCGAAACGCACACGTATATGGTTAGGTTCGTGAACGAAATACATATTATAAGAAGCTGGTCCGATCGAATTTATTCGTTAGGATAACGATTATATACTACATATTGTATACATATATATTGTGTATACTAATATTATGTGCGCTGTACTCGACGAGACCTCACCGCAGCTATACACGTTTATATTATATAATATATATTATTATATCGAGTCAGTTGGAAACGAAAACCTTTTAAAAGATTCATTAATTTATAAATGAATAAACATTACGTATAAAAGAGCAAAAAACGATACTGTTGATGAGGTAGCAAACGAAAAAAAGTACAATAATTATAATACACAATGGTTTATGCAGATAACCGTTTTTGCCTATAATGGAAGTCGGCATAATAAGCGATATTTGTTAACGAGTTTCAAATGCATTTTCAAACGCATTTATAAAACGCCGTCTGACGCTTATCGAAAACTTTGTCGAGCGGGTTTTTGTATGCTTGATAGTGTAGTGGTACCTATATATCTACAAAACAGGTATATAATACAATATTATAGGTACACATTTTAGTGTAGAAATTAATATTGCATTTGTTCTGTAATTGTATTTCTCGATAAATCTCACATTAAACATGGTTRCGCTGCTTGATGTAAAAACGTGATACAACGACGACCGCGTGGATATGAGGAGTCGGTGAGTATAATTTCTTTTGGGAGATACGCGCGTTCGCGACGAATACCGCAGTCGTTCGAATCGGCTGTTAATTTTTAATTTTAATTTTTATAATTGGTTGATTATTAATTATTTACAGCGATCGCGATGAACCTCGATGAAACGATATAGGTATACATATTTTGCCGACCGTGTTCACCCCGTGTTCGCCGTGCGGTGTGTGGCGATTGGCGAGTGTGCAATTATAACGGACTAGCGACAAATATGCAGTGCGGCGGTGTAGGTACTCCGCGAAGCGACGGGTCGTTGAATGTTTGAAAGCAAAAAAAAACATTCTATAGGATTTCTTGAATATATTTTTCTTCTTGGTTGTCAGTCGTCGTGTATACCTACGTTTGGTTTTTTTTCCTCCAGCAACAACGACGTCCAAACGGTAATAATAATTACAAAACGATTTTAAGCTCGCGCAGCAATACTCATCGGAGCGGCGGACAAAGTGGCGCGCGCGCTCTAACAATTAATAGCCAATTAATTAACACGTATTATACGCCGCGCGCAATGATCATTATCAGTGGGTCGAGATAGTAAGCCGATAATTTATTACGACCYAGAACGCGGCTGATACGCCGTTAAACTCGCGATTACCTTATGTGTTATTAAATAGAGGTTATAATCTCTCGACKAGTTGGTATACCTATATACATAATAGGACGGGTCTATCAGCAGTTGGGTGCACGCGAATAACACCCAACCACGTATTCTACACATGCGCAAAATTATAATAATGTTGWGTGTTGTTGTATATATTGTTGTAGGTTACGCGTTAAAATGAAGTCTAGTCAAATTAATAATGGCGACCGTTATTGAGCGCATAATGATTTATCTCCGAATGTCGACGAGTAGTTCGGTGCAGTACCTATATATGATGTAGTGGCCGAAGAAGTCTTATAAGAATATTATATGAGAATGCACGCGGGGAAACCATATAAAAAGGTAACACGCGGTTAGATCGTAATTAAAAAAAAAAAAAAAATTGAATAAAAACTTAATAAACCACACGAACACGCCACCACGACTACGATATCATTCTATAATAACGTATAGCAGCTTGGATACATAGCTTTGGATAGTGCATGTATATATAATATATATGTATTATATATGTAAATGTCATARTATCGTTTCACCGAACAATATTCGATCAGATTACTGTAATATGTGTATAATATATAATATTAATAATATGTAAGTACACTGCTCGTGCACCCGATAATAAAATTAAAACGCGACACGCCTAACACCCAGCAGCGCAGTCGACAAGCCACATTTGGGAAAAGGACGATGATTATTATATATTTGAAACAGATATAAATAATGTTGACTATTGCCGTGTAATGAGTGTTATTATTGTGAAAATCCGAATAAAACCAGTAAATTATTTGAAGAGGTTTTTTTACCATGTCATTGCTGGGCCTAATGCTGCAGTCATGTTAAGGGTCATGAGTCAAGTATAAATCATAACAATAATGTTATTGTGGTTATTTCGTATTTCCTATAGTTTCAACACTCGCCGTTCGGAAAATTCGCAGACCAACGATTTCAGTTACTATCGATCTGTAATAAAATATATTATATGATTGCAAGTACAGCTTTTCACGAAAATAGTGGTCTTCTCAAACGTTATTATTTTTAACGATCGTGTTTCGCATCAGTATCTGCAGTAGGTATACCTATAACATACAGAATATAATATTCTGTGCAATTAAGTTTCGATTAATTAATCCGTACGAAATTGTTCGATTATCTGATCAAAGACTAAGAGATTATGTAGTAATATATCCTAATCGTTTAGTCCACTACATATAGTTATAGATGACGAAAGATGACTTCAGCTACATATTCATAATTTAATTTTAAAAACCCGTGGAAATGTATTACTAAATAATGGTAACTGTAAGTTGGTTATGATAATTCGCATACCTTAGTTGGTAATTTTTCCAACCAGTGTCCAGATAAAGTGGGCAGAGGTGATGGTGTTGGTGTTATAGATTTAAGCTAATGTCAAACATTAGGCTCATATACCTATACCTATATATATATATATATATATAGATAGATAGATAGATGCGTTTTGTGATATCATCGTCATCGGTGTAAATAATTTTCTCGTCAGCAAAACTCAATCACACATTGCGGGATGCTTACTCACGTCACGATTCGCGACCAGGGGCTTGCTTGCAATATATATGTACTTATAAAATATAATATAATAACATATAGGTAAAAATATATAACAAGTGTTCAGCAGTGACCGAGAGGTGGTGGTGACTTTACGGGCGCACACAAATCTTTTTCTCCGGTACCTATATAATAATAGTTTGACGGGTCAATAGAGAGATAAATATTCACGAACATGCTTCAGGCGGTTATATTATTGATGTTTACTCGCCTTATGACCTATCGCCGGCCACCCCACACGGTCAGCCGACCGTTTCACCGTTAATAATATTATTATATTATATAATTGTGTGTACGGCTATAGAGCCGTCCAGATTCCTGCAGAGATATTATTAAATGGCGTCTGATGGTGTCGCTATGCGATCGTTTTAACTATATGATATTGTAAAGTGCGGGTAGGCGCTAAGCGACTGCTTTTTCTAAGGAAAAACCTTCATAGCGATTGAGACTCAACAGAACGCGCGCAGAATCGAAAATAATTGCGAAAAAAAATGTCTCGGATTTCTGTCGTAAGTAATAATATTATTATTATACGCAGTACGTATTATATTAAAGACTCTATGCGGTTTGAATGACCATTAAACCTGTTGTGTGTCCGGCCTGTAGTTCGCGTGTTACGTGTTAATTAGACCAGTGTAACATATTTTTATACATGATGCATAATGCATATATATACGTAGGTATATGTTTTCGCGGAAGTTTGTCATAATTGATATTTACGTATTTATTTTAATTTTTTTCTCTCGCCCCACCGACACGCCAAAATGCATGCGAATACAACCACTTTACCTATATATTATATATATATACTTTATGATAATATATTTTTAAATTACACAGTATATTATAATGTGTGCTCGTTTACATGACGTTAAATCTGTATTTCGTATACGGTCGATTATCTCGATACGGACAAATGAATAATAAACTTCCCGTAAACCATAATATGTAATCGGGCACTGGCCACCTGAGCAAATCGCACAAGTCATCATCCCGCGAATAATAAGACACACTCACTAGCTGTTGCGTTTGTAAGATTTTTACGGGTATAATTCACAACCTACTGCATAGCACCTGTCTCACACGTCTGTTGCGAAAAACGCGTCGTCCTACCCATACACAATGAATTATATTATTATGTTTGGKCATAAACCTCCTATATATATATTATATATTCCTAGCTATTTCGGGCATCGTTYGTTTGTGTTGCAGGACGGTATAAGATATTGTTTTTCGATCGGACGTAACGAGAACGGTGCATTTGCGAAATAATTTAATGATAAAAATAAATAAATTATAATAACAGCTGCAGTCTACAACTGTTGCAGTAGGCTGTTGCTGTTTTTGCTGCTGCTGCTGCTGCGGTGTAATATACTGCTCGGCGACGGAGACACGATGTCCCAATTATTGAGAACAATGCAGCGACGAAAGAAAAAAAAATTTAAAACACATACGCAAACGCTCACACGACGTGGGTACCTACATATACATATACACATTAATCGTCGTGAGAAACCCACATTGTTCCAAACTTCGGAGTCGATGCTGTAACGTCGTTATACCAATACAACTGCGGTCGGCTTGTTAAAAATATACCATTATTATATTATATTAAGTACGTATTCATATGGATTGTTATATACACTGCGGCTCAGAATATATCTTATAGTACATATATATTATGTACCTATTACCAGTTTAGTATACCTAATATTATTGTTGTACCAACCCATCGTGATAGGACCTATATACCGACAGGAGACTTCGAATCGGTAACCTATAATCGATTGAAGGAAAAATTCGGCATGCCGACTACTGCAGGTTTGTTATATAATAATTTCACCACAGAACTAATAAAGTAATAAATAATATAATAATGATAATATCGTTCGTTTCAGCGATACGGAAAACCTATTAGGCGAAAAATTGATTTCACGATAAAAATAATTATTTTGTATTATAAAACGTATGCAATGTTATTATAAATATTATTATATAGTATTTAAGCGTAGATCAGAGCGTTGAAATACAAAAACTGGTATTCAAATGAATTTCAGACGAATAACACCTGCAGGAGAATATTATAATAT